GAGTGGAACTGCTATATCATCCAGAACTATTTTTAATTTTTTCAGGAAACTTCATACTATTTTCCATAGTGGCTGCACCAATTTACATTCCCACCAACAGCACATGACAGTTCTCTTTTCTCCATATCCTCACCAACACTTGTTATCTGTTGTCTTTTTGATGATAGCCATTCGAACAAGTGTGAGGTGATCTCTCATTGTGGTTTTGATTTGCATTTCCCTGATGGTTAGTGATGATAAGCACTTTTGCATGTACCTGTTGGCCATTTGTATGTCTTCTTGGAAAAATGTCTATTCTATTCTTCTGCTGGTTTTTTAATAAGGTTGTTTTTTGCTACTGAGTTATATGAGTTATTTATATATTTTGGATATTAACTCTTTAACAGATATATGACTTTCAAATATTTTTTCCCATTCCATAGGTTGTCTTTTCATTTTGCTGATGGTTTTCTTTGCTATGCAGAAGCTTCATAATTTGATGGAGCCCTACTTGTTTGTTTTTGCTTTTGTTGCCTTTGGTTTTAGTGTCAAATCCAAAAATTCATTGTCAAGCCCACTATAAAGGAGCTCACCTCATGTTTTCTTCTAAGGCTTTTATGGTTTTAGGTCTTACATTCAAGTCTTTAATCCATTTTGAGTTAATTTTTGTGTATGGTGTAAGATAGTGGGCCAGTTTCATTCTTTCACGTGTGGCTGCCCAGTTTTCCCAACACAATTTATTGAAGAGCCTGTTCTTTGCCTATTGTATATTCTTGGCTCCTTTGTTGTAAATTAATTGACCACATATGCATAGGTTTATTTCTGGGATCTCTATTCTGTTCCATTGATCTATGTGTCCTTTTTTATGCCAATACCATACTGTTTTGATTACTGTAGCTTTGTAATATTGATTGAAGTCAGGAAGTGTGATAACTCCAGTTTTGTTCTTCTTTCTCTAGACTGCTTTGGCCATTTGGGGTCTTTTGTGGTTCCAAACATATTTTAGGAGTTTTTTTTTATTTCTGTGAAAAATGCCATTGGAATTTTGATAGGGATTGTAATAAATCTGTAGATCACTTTGGGTAGTATAGATACTTTAACAATACTAATTCTTCCAATCCACGAGCACAGAATATCTTTCCATTTATTTATGTCTTCAGTTTACTTCATCAATGTCTTATAGTTTTCAGTGTACAGATTTTCACCTCCTTGGTTAGATTTATTCCTAGGTATTTCATTCTTTTTGATGCAATTCTAAATGGAGTTATTTTCTCCATTTCTCTTCCTAATAGTCATTAGTGTATACAAATGCATTGATATTTGTATATTGGTTTTGTATCTTGCAAATTTACTGAATTTGATTATTAGTCCTAACAGTTTTTTGGTGACATCTTTAGGTCTTCTATATATGTCATCTGCAAATAGAGACAGTTTTACATCTTCCTTTCCAATTTGGATACCTTTTATTTATTTTCTTGTCTAGTTGCTCTATCTAGGAGTTCCAGTACTATATTGAACACAAGTGTCATGGGCATCTTTGTGTTGTTCCTGATCTTAGAGGAAAAGTTTTCAACTCTTCATCATTGATTATGATGTTAGCTGTGGGCTTGTCATATATGGCCCTTATTACATCAAGGTATGTTCCATCTACACCCAGTCTGTTGAGAGTTTTTATCATGAACGAATGTTGAATTTTGCAACATAATTTTTCTGCATTTATTGAGATGATCATATAGTTTTTATCCTTCATTTTGTCAATATGATTGATTGATTTGCAGATGTTGATCCATCCTGCATCCTAGGAATAAATCCTACTTGATCATGGTGTAAGATCCTTTTAATGTAATGTTGAATTGGTTTGCTAATATTGGGTTGAGGATTTTTGCATCTATGTTTACCAGTGAAAATTGACCTGTAATTTTCTTCTATCGTAGTGTCCTTGTCTGGCTTTGGTATTAGGATAGTGCTGACCTCATAAAATGAGTTTGAAAATGTCCTCTCCTCTTCTGTTTTTTGAAATAATTTGAGAATATTTGATATTACTTCCTTAATTGGTTAGTGGAATTCTGTGAAGCCATCTAGTCCTGAACTTTCATTTGTTGGGAGAGTTTTGATTTCTAATTCAATAACCTTACTAGCAATTTATCTGTTCAGATTTTCTGTTTCCTCATGATTTAGTCTTTGTAGGTTGTATGTTTCTAGGAATTTATCCATTTCTTTTAGGTTGTCTAATTTGTTGGTATATAATTGTTCATAGTAATTTCTTATGATCCTTTGTATTTCTATGGTAACAGTTGCAAAGTATCCTCTTTCATTTCTTATTTGAGTCTCTTTTTTTCTTGGTGAGTCTAGAAAGGGTTGTCAACTGTGTTTATCTTTAAAGAAAAAAAGCTCAATCTTTTCTATTCTCTTTTTTTAGTTTCTATTTATACTCTTTTAAATTTATTTCCTTCCTTCTACTAAATTTGGGCTTAGATTTTTTTTTCTAGTCCTTTGAGGTGTACAGTTAGTTTTTTTAATCTGAGATCTTTCTTGCAACTTAATGTAGGTGTTTATTCCTATAAACTTACCTCTTACAACTGCTTGTGCTGTATCCCGTAAGTTTTGGTATGTTGTTTTTCTCAAAATATTTTTTGATTGCCCTTTTGATTTCTTTGACCCATTGGTTATTCAGAAGCATGTTGTTTAATCTCCACATAAATTCTCCAGTTTTCTTCTTATAATTGATTTCTGATTTCATAAAAGATGCTTGATATGAGTTCAATCTCTTAAATGTATTAAGACTTATTTTGTGGCCAAACGTGATCTATCCTAGAGAATATTCCATGTGTGCTTGAGAAGAATGTGTATTCTGCTGCGTTGGGATGGAATGGTCTGTATATTTCTGTTAAGTTCATATTTCTGTATATGTTTGTTAAGTTCATCTGATATAACATGTAGTTTAGGACCAATGTTTCCATACTGATTTGCTATCTACAAGATCTATCCATTGTTGAAAGTGGGGTATTGAAATCCTCTACTATTACTGTATGGCTATCTATTTCTCTCTTCACGTCTGTTAATATTTGCTATATATAATTAGGTGCTCCCATGTTGGGTGTATATTTACAAATGTTATATTGTCTTGGAATGACCCCTTTTTCATTATATAATGACCTTCTTTGCCTATTATTAGACTGTGGCTTAAACTCTATTTTGTCTGTTTGTCTGATATAAATATAACTAAGCCTGGTTTTTTTTTTTTGGTGTCCATTTGCATGAAATATCTTTTTTTCATCCCTTCTCTTTCAGTCTGTACACATTCTTAAAGCTAAAGTGAAAGAGCATATACTTTTTAAAAATTCATTTAGCCATTCTATGTCTTTTGATTGAAGCAGTTTTTACCATGTTAAACTTGAAGCTTACTAGACAGATTTTCAAGAGGAGATGTGGATGAGTATGGAGTCCAGGGGAGTAATCTAGGCTGGAGACATAAGTATAGGAGTTGTGAAACTCTACCACTAACTCTCCTTTGCCTTTCTTAACTTCTCCAATTTCCTCACCTTTTAGGTAGGACCAAATGTAACTGCCATTTTTGTAGGTTAAAAATGGTAAAATATAGCAATTTCATACGGTTCAACCAAATATAAATGGAAAGATTCCTACCCTATTTCTTAAGGCAGTTAAAATGTTCAATGAGATTAACGTGTGAAAATTTACACAGTAAATGTTTAAAGTATTCTTATGAGAGAGCTTGTCTAGTTACAATTTAGAAGAAGCATTTTCATAACTCAGAATTCATTCTCATGCAACACACATTTTAAGATGATTTCAGGTTTTCTCTATGTGGAATCTGTTTAGGGAGGTCCCATGACTGGAGTTAAAGCATTTAGCAAATGTTTGAATGCTCTGTGCCAGCACAAAGCTCATCACCTGTTTGAGAAACTGCTCTTAGACGATGCTGGAGAGAGAAAGTCTGCCTAAACGTGCTTTTTATTTTTATATTTTTTATTTTATTTATTTTAAACCTGCTTTTTAAAATAATCCGGTCTAGACTTATCCAATCCTGGATCAATACCCCTAATTAGCATACCAAAAAGTGGTCCAGTCTTGACCCAGGACCTGCTAAAGTCAGTTTGAACTCCACTCAGTGCTGGATAACCTGGTTAGGCACTCTGTATCTAGCAGCAATACCTTAGTTTGGGTCATTTCTCTTATCTTTGTTAACTAACCATTTAGTCCCATGGTTTCCTTACAGTTCCTGGAATGTGTCAAGGATTTCCTCTCTCCCCTCTATTCATTTCCCCACCTTTCACTTGTGGGTTCACCCTCCTCACCTCCTTCAGATCTTTGCACACATGTTAATTACTCATGGAGTCTTTTGTCGACTATCCTTTTGTAAATCAAAACCACTCCACCTAGCTCCATCCAGAACTCCCTATCTCTTCTCCCTGATTTACTTTTTTTCTTCAGGGCACTTATCATCTGAGAAAGCAAAAATCCCTGAAATCTAGAAATTGGCCTGATATTCACAGCTAGGCCATGGTGTTCTCCTGTTGGCCATAAACAATCTCACAGAATGTCAACAACAGGCAAGGACACAATTATAAAATTGTCCCTGCTTTCTGACAACATGGAATCCAAAGAAAATCTCCACTTATTAGAACCTCCCCAAAGTTATCCAGCCAAGGCCTAAATCCTATAATAGGTTCTTTTTAATACCTTCTTACCGAGCTCCCCCACAGTTCCCTATGGTGATAGTTCTCACTCACTGCAACAAGTAATAAACCCAAGTTGTTCAACTACAGGTGTGTTCCTGGTGATATCTGCCTGGAGGATACTGATACGTTTAACATATTATCTGTTCTTCTTACTTATTTTTTGGTTGTCTGTCTTTTCCCACTAGGATATATTTCTATGAGAACATGGATTTTTGGCTATTTGGTCAGTATTAACATTGCCAGCAGCTAGAACCATGCCTGGTATATTACAGGCTCTCAATAAATAGTTCTTGAATGAATGAATGAACAGTAAGCACTCACATTTCAGTAGGCATTACAGATGCAAGCACAAAACAGAGCAAGTCCTTGAGATCTTCAGAGTTTGACTAGTACTGGTTCAGTAAGTTTGCCTGAGGAAAGGAAGAAAGCGGCAGAGAGAGAAAGTCAAATTCTGCACTGGGGCCTGCTGTGTAACTCTGTTTTCCATTCCTGCTTTCTTTTCCTTTGCTTTCTTTCTTTATCAGGATCATCCTTGGAAGAAAGTCAGACACACTCTCCTGAAACCAGTGCTGGCTAAAAGAAACTATGGTTTGACCTGTGCCAATGAGAACTGAAAATGTTATGGAATCTTCATGCCAAATCTATAAAACTTAACTCTTTATGGCCTCACTGAGACAATGCTTCAAGAATTAGAGATTTGTTCACTGTAATTTAGAAACCCCTCTTATGATTCTCAGATTTCATGGCATGTAAGAATCCACTGAGGAGTTAGAAAAAGAGACTATTTTAGTCAAAACAAAATTGACTAAGTTTATAATAAAATGAATACCTTGAGCTTAAAGGCTTAAAAGATCTAAATTTACACGTCTACAATTTTAATAAATTGAATATTCATTAAAACACTGGCAACTATAAATAGGTTTTTTAAGCACAAAATTTTCCCTCAAGACAATTAGCAATACAAGTGACATTTCTCAGGGTTCTTTGCAAAGCCTTTTGCCTCTACAGCCAACACACATACTTCTCCTTTTCCTTGGTTTCAACTATCATCTTTATACCAATTATTAATAAATTAATCATTATGATTTAGGGAATCTAAGTGTGGTGACTTTCCCAACCTGGTTGGGGCTATGGAATTGTCCCTGGTAGGCTCCACCCAGGGGACAAAAGCATCCTTTAGCAATAACATTAGCCTGTTACCCTTTGATTGCAACAATGCTTATTTTGGGTAAACTTTTAAAAAGATATATAGGATCTAGATTTTTTTAAAGAGAACAATTTGTTCGAGGAAAATACTAATACAGTACTAGCTATTCCATTTGGTGCCAAAAGATGTTACTTGTACACAGGAAAACTCTCCGTGCATAATAGAAACAATTTAAATTGTTTTCAGCAAAAATTTTTGAGGCTCTAATTTGTAAGGACACCAGGAAATGCATTCTGGGTGATGATAGTATGAACACAACATGGTTCCCAACCTCAAGGGGCTTAAAATACCACAGAGAAACAGATGTGTGTTCAAATAAGTATATATAATGCATGGTACATACAATGAAAAGCCAGAATTACAAACTGTCAAAGCAAAAATTGCCCCCAACAGAGTTATAAAGGTAAGGAAGACTTTACTCAAGGCTATCTAAATAGTTAAGAGAGATCAGAACACAGTCTAAACTCAACTCTGCTGAAACAAATAATGGGAGAGTTGTTTTGGTGGTTTTTAAATATTTTTATTATAGGAAAATATACATAAAATTTACTATTGTAACCTATTTTAAATATACAATTCAGTGGCATTAAGTACATTCACAAATGTGCATCAGAATTACCTGTTTCCAGAACTTTTTAATTCCTCCAAAATGGAAACTCAATACACATTAACCAATAATTTCCCATTCTTCCCATCCCACAGTCCCTGATAAACTGTTCTACTTTCTGTCTCTATGAATTTAACTATTCTAGGTATCTCATTAGGTACAATCATACAATTAATTGTCCTTCTGTGTTTAGCTTATTTCATTTAGCATAATGTTTTCAAGGTTCATCCATCTTGTAACATGTGTCAGAATTTCATTCCCTTTTAAGGCTGAAAAATACTCTGTTGAATGTATACACCACAGTTTATGAATTTACCTGTTGATGGACATTGGGTTGTTTCCACCTTTTGACTATTGTAAATAATGTTACTATAAACACTGGGGTACAAATATCTGTTCAAGTCTCTGCTTTCAGTTCTTTGGGGAATATATCTAGAAGTGGAATTGCTGGATCACATGGTAATTCTATGTTGAACTTTCTGAGGAACGACCATACTGTTTTCCATAGCATCTGCACCATTTTACATGCTCGTCTGCAGTGTCCAAGGTTTCTGATTTCTCCACATCCTTGCCAATGCTTGTTATTTTGTGGGTTTTTTGGTATAGCCATCCCAAAGGATGTGAGGTAGTATCTTACTGTGGTTTTTATTTGCATTTCCCTAATGACTGGTGATGTTGAGCATCTTTTCATATGCTTATTGTACATCTTTGGATAAATGTCTATTCAAGTCCTTTGCCCATGTATATTTCTGATCCTCTGAGGCACAGGCTAGTAAAACTACTCCCTCTTGGGAGGAAAGTACTTGTCCATATTAGGTAAATTATCCATCTCTCCAAGGGAGCCAAATAATAATGATTTTCAAAGGCCAAGTAATAATTCAGTGATGAGTAAAATTTTTCCACAGCAAGTAAGAGTTTAGAGTATTTATACATTCCCCCAAGCCTTTCAATTAGAAATATAGCAGATGGCCCAATAATTTGTTGTTTCTAAACCTAAATGCATTTACCCAACATGTAGCTGATTATTAGCATTCATAACAATATTTATGACATGTGTGTTGGCTCTGTAGATGTACAACACATAGTCTTGATGACATTATTTAAAACTTTAAAATGTAGTATATTAGGATATGAACTTCTCAGTATTATACACACACACACACACACACACAGAGTAACAGTTGAATAATTACACATCACACACATCTATTCCCTGTTAAGGATACAGCTAAAAATCAGTCAGAAATGTTGCCACTTGTCATAAAATATTTTCCTTTGTTTTCTATCATGGAACTAGCCACAGTGGATGCTAAGGTAGGTGATAAGAGAAGTATATTTGTTTTCAGTGGTTTCTCCAGCTTCTTCTTAGGAGAACTTATCATTGGATGAATCTCGTTTGCAGGCCTTCCAAACAAATTTACAGATCTCTATAGGGTTGATGGACAATTATGTCCATGGGCAGTGGGTACTTCAAATGGTGGCAAGCAGTGTGTTTTCTCTGCCAAGATATATTTAGTTCCAGTGCAGTCAATAAAAAAGAAAACATGGCTGAGTCTTCAGTAAAACCTAAGAGGCTTCCTTCAATATTACACTGATTGAACTATGAAGATTCAAAGCCAAAACAGCTAAATATATAGGAGAGAAAATAGTCCATGTTCTCAAGTAATGAAAAACATATCAATCTATCACATACTATATTCTTCGTTTGACTTCCAATTTTTATAAAAGCAGAAATAAAGTGCAGATATCTTTCAAGGCAACTTGAGAAACTATTACAAACTCAACTTAGGCACTGGTCCTCCCATCACCTTCATCTTATTCTCTCATTCTCTCCAAACAGCCTTCCCTTGTGTTTCCAAAAAAACCCTTATGTAGCTTATTAGCTCTCATAATTCAAAAAGTCCTTGAAATAATCTCTTTCTTGATAAAATGACACAAATGATGATCCAGAAGAATAAGCTTATAGGAACCACCGAAAAATCGTTTACCAGTTTATTAATAAAGGATATTGTAAAGGATACAGATGAACAACCAGATGAAGAGGTACACAGGATGAAGTACGTAAGAGTCCCAGGAGCAGGAGCTTCTGTCCCCAAGGAACTGGGGTGGCCCCACTCTCCTGGCATGTGGATGCTTTCACCAAACCAGAAGCTCCTCTGCCCATTTTTCAATCGAGTTGGTTTTTTTTGTTGTTGTCAGGTCATAGGAGTTCTTAATATCTTCTAGATATTAACACCTTATCAGATATATGATTTGCAAATATTTTCTCCCAGTCCATGAGTTGCCTTTTCACTCTGTTGATTGTGTCCTTTGAAGCAAAGAATTTTATAGTAGGAGAGGTTTTAAGAGCTGGGGTGAGGACATTGTAGATCACCTGGGTTAACTGGCCTTACCCAAAGGAAAAGTAAACTTGTCTTATCTTCATGACAGGGGGTACTTTTACAACCTGGAGCTAGGCACCCACGGTGGTTAGGCTCCTACTCTCCCAGTAGACAATGAGTGATGGGAGCATATCTTCCTTTATTATTACATTTCAAAGGGGAGAGAGGAGGTTAAAGCCTCTTTTTTTTTTAATTTACATCTCTGGAGGTTCCTTAAAAAACTAAAAATAGAGTTACCATGTGATCCAGCAAGGCCACTTCTGAGCATATATTTGGAAAAGATGAAAACTCTAATTTGAAAGATACATGTACCCCAATGTTCATAGCAGCACCATTTATAATAGCCAAGACATGGAAGCAACCTAAATGTCCGTTGACAGATGAATGAATAAAGAAGATATGGTAAATATATACAGTGGAGTATTACTCAGCCATAAAAATAATGAAATAATGCTATTTGTAGCAACATGGATGAACCTAGAGATTATCATACTAAGTGAAGTAAATCAGAGACAGACAAATATCATATGATATCAATTATATGTGGAATAAAAATTGATACACAAATGAATTTATTTACAAAGCAGAAACAGACACACAGACATAGAAAACAAACTTATGGTTACTAAAAGGGAAGGGGAGGGAGGGATAAATTAGGAGTTTGGGATTAATAGATACACACTACTATATATAAAATAGATAACAAGGACCTACTGTATAACACAGGGAACTATATTCAATATCTTGTAATAACCTATAATGGAATAAAATCTGAAAAAGAATAGATACCTATGTGTGTACCTTACATACATATGTGTGTGTGTGTATATATATATATATCTGAATCACTTTTCTGTACATCTGAAACTAACACAACATTGTAAATCAACTATACTTCAATTTTTTTAAAGCCATTAAAAAAATCAATTCTAAAAAACAAAATTACATATCAAAGGGGCAGAGAAAGAATTTACAAGTTGTCAGAAGTAAATGCTCTAAGAAAAGGGAAGTCATGAGCCTAGAGGGAAGAAGCCTGTCTAAAGTTTAGTTAAGCTGAGTGAACTGTAAGGCCATGTTGATGAAAATAAAGCATTTGGGGACATCAGAGATCAGAAAAACTAATTCCAACTGAGGAATCCCAGAAAGTGTCAGAAGTGATAACATTATGTAGCCTAGAAAGCAATATAAGATTCAGCAGAAAAGTTATTGAGGAGG